TCTCTCTCTCTCTCTCTCTCTCTCTCTCTCTCTCTCTCTGCTCTCTCTATCTCTCTCTCTCTTCTCTCTCTGTCTCTCTGCTCTCTCTCTATCTCTCTCCTCTCTCTCTCTCTTCTCTCTCTCTCTCTCTCTCTCTCTCTCTCTCTCTCTCTCTCTCTCTCTCGCTCTCTCTCTGCAGCAATGTCTCAACACTCTGCGGCAACACGTCATGTGTAGTGTCCAGCGTTGTGATCCAAGTGCAGGCGGTCTAATCGCCTGGCGGCCAATTGAAGAGGCCAGTACTAGTAGGATACAGGCTGACCGAAAACCACCCGTGGCGCCGTCAGTCCCGACTGTTCCGTCGGCCTCACAGGCGCCCTTACAAATCATACGATCTAACAGGCTCCTTACAAACCACACGGCCCCACAGGCTCCTTACAAATCACACGGCCTCATAGGCTCCTTACAAATCACACGGCTCCACACTCCACAAGCTCCAGTCCTTACAATTGTTAGCTACGCTCACCAGTGAAATAATACATTTACCTTGTTGCGTTATAAGAAGAAAGAACAGTTTCTGGGGATGGCAGACCGACATTTGACTTTGCCGGTGCTCTGACCCGCTTTGGCGACTTTCCTCCTCCTAATTTCCTAGTCCAGCCGCTGTGCGACGTCCGACCATCCGCGGGGTCGGTGGAGGAGGCACCTCCGCCCGCGCCGTCCCCCGTCTGCTAGCCACTATACACTGTTCGGCGTCCACAGTCCACCGTCCACCGCCCACCGTCCACTCACCGTCCACCGTCCACCCACCGTCCGCCGTCCACCGTCCACCGTCCACCGTCCACAGTCCACCGTCCACCGTCCACCGTCCACCCACCGTCCACCGTCCACCTACCGTCCACCGTCCACCGTCCACCCACCGTCCACCGTCCACCCATCGTCCAGTGTCCATCGTCCACTGTCCACCGTCCGCCCACCGTCCACCCACCGTCCACCGTCCACCGTCCACCGTCTGCCGTCCACCGTCCGTTCCACTGTCCCCGCTACCGATCCTCTCCCGGGAAGTGCCATCGGCGGACGGTTCCCGTGGTTCTCGGCGCCGGTTCCCATGGTTCTCGGCCCAGCCAAATAGGGAAACACGGCCGGCGACGGACAATGGTAGGTAGGCCGCGCCTCGGCCGGCGTTTTCCGGCGCCCGGTCCCCCCTCCGACGTCACTGGGGGCGGCCGTGCCGAAGACGAGCCGCACTCTATATAAGAGTCCGGCAGAGGTCCGGGGGCCGCCAGTGGCTGGCACAAAGCCACCGAGACGGGTACGGCGCACAGTGACCACATTGGGTGAGACAACTGAGTGAGTGAGACGGCTGGGTCGGCTTCCGCTAACGGGGACTCGTGCGACAGAGTCACGGGGCTGGGAACTGAGAGACCCTTGCTAACAAAGGCCGAAGCAAGGAGTTAGGGAGTAAGGCAGTTCGGTGGCAGTTAGTGAGTGAAGGAGTGAGTGAGTGAGTGAGTGAGTGAGTGAGTGAGTGAGTGAGTGAGTGAGTGAGTGAGCGGGCGAGCGACGGGTCCCGGTGCTGAGAGGGTGTCGGTGTCCCCTCTCCAGCGCTCGGTGACAGCGTCGGCCCTCAGATCCGGTCCTCCCCGATGTTGGAGGCCCTCAGATCCGGTCCTCCCCGATGTTGGATGCCCTCAGATCCGTGCCTTCCCGATGTTGGAGATCCACAGATGTATCTCATCAGTCATCAGTCCACGACTGCCTCTGAGGGGAGCGGGACTGTCTCTGTGGGGAGCGGGACTGTCTCTGAGGGTAGCGGGACTGCCTCTGAGGGGAGCGGGACTGTCTCTGTGGGGAGCGGGACTGTCTCTGAGGGTAGCGGGACTGCCTCTGAGGGGAGCGGGACTGTCTCTGAGGGGGGCGGGACTGTATCTGAGGGGAGCGGGACTGTATCTCAGGGGAGGGGGACTGTCTCTGAGGGGGGAGGAGAAGCACTGTCGTCCTGTGTTGGCTAGTTCCTGTTATTTGTGGAGTTGCGCTTGTCTTACATACCTAATATGCCCGCTTCCCTAATCGTCCAGCCACCTACTCTGCAAATTCTAGAGGTTCTTGTGCTGAATGTAGGTAACTGTATGAGCACAGAGCACTCTCTGCTGAGGCACAGGTATTTGGCTACCGTTTGTGCTTCTGCTTGAACTTGTATGAAAGAATACGTTAAGTAAAAAAGGAGATGGAAGAGAAATGTGAAGCCTGCTGTGTGTGTAAGAGAACAGGAAGGGAGAACCCAAGTGTCATGCTACTCGAGAGTGACACATTGTTAAGAACTACATGCAGTCATTGACGGATCCAGAGAGCTTGTCCTTGGCGCTGCGCGAAGGGGTACCTATACCTAGGTAACCTAGGTATCTTTCTCCCCCCCCCCCCCGGAAAAAAATCCTAAAAGTTATGAAAAAATTGAATCACTTCCTTTTACTTTGCAGTGGAAGTAGGTACAAACAATTTGTCTGGTAAAACTTCCTTAGTTTATTGATTACTTTATATTTTAGGGAACAGGCAAATTTTCATCAATTTCTGCGACGTAGCTGCTGCCATAAATAAATACGTCCTCCCTTGTATCCGACAGTGGCTGCGTGCAGTGACTAAAAGTGTTACTGAGAGTTCCGTTTTCTGTCGTCAGATGGCAGTGTGATCTACCGGCACCCCCAGTCGCGGCTGCTCGGTAAAATGGCGAGTCTGGTCGGATTCAAGTCTCCGGCGCCCCAGCTGCAGGCGGACCCCGTAGCAGGTGAGTGAGCGGCTGCGACTGCAGTGGACTCGCTGTGCTGTCTCAGTAGGCGTCCCAGGTCAGTGAGCGGCTGCGACTGCAGTGGACTCCCCGTGCGGTCAGCAGTGCAAACGGGTATTGTTGGGTGCGACCTACATATGATCAGTTGGGCTGTCCCGACCGACGTCACTCAGGGTATAGGTATAGTCAGTACCTAGTAGCCACAGGGGTGGTAGGTGGGCGCTGACCTTTGCTGACCTTATGGGTAATCTCTGCTAACCTCTCTTAATCTCTGTTGACCCCTGCTGATCTCTGTTGACCCTTGCTGACCTCTGTTGACCTGCAGTGCTGGATCATAAGCTGGACCAGGAGGAGCGGACGATGAAGAAGGATAACCGACGGTGGCGCGTCATCATCTACTTCACCGTCACCGTGTGCCTCATCATCTTCGGACTGGTGGTGAGAGAGCCAGAGGGGAGGGGGAGGGAGGGAGGGAGGGGGAGAGGCGCGTCATCATCTACTTCACCGTCACCGTGTGCCTCATCATCTTTGGACTGGTGGTGAGAGAGCCAGAGGGGAGGGGGAGGGAGGGAGGGAGGGGGAGAGGCGCGCCATCATCTACTTCACCGTCACCGTGTGCCTCATCATCTTTGGACTGGTGGTGAGAGAGCCAGAGGAGAGGGGGAGAGGGGAGGGTGATAATGGCGGCGAGAGACTGGAGAGACGGTATAAACAGTAGTTTGGGAAATATGGATGTAGTCAAATCTGACGCCACGCTGCGTCCAGCTTTCGCTCCCCTCCGACTGACACCGTCTCCTCCAAGTGTAAACCCTCCTATTCCCACAAACTGACGCTCCGCCCGGCCCCATCATCTGACACCCCGCCCCCGTCCGGCAGCTGGCGCAGGTCATCTCGTCGGTGACGTCATCGGGCGGTCAGCTGCCCAATGTTGACGTCACGGAGGCGGCGGCGGCGCTGGACGCGCCGCGTCACGAGCCGCTGCTGGCCGGCCTCGGCGGCGCCGACGGTCGGCAGCGCTCCCCGGCGCAGCCAAAGGCGGGCGGCGACCCGAGCGACACCTATACGGCCGACTCGGGCGACATCTATGTGACGGTGCCGGGCGGCCGCGCCGAGGACGACTACGTGCTGACGGTGGCGCGCACGGCCGGCGGTCAGCTGGACATGGCCGTTAAGGCAGAGGGAGCCGGCTCCGCCGCGCACGCCGCCGCCATCGAGAGCGCCCTCCAGGAGGCCATTGTGCTGGGCGAGCGGCAGCAGGCCGAGGCCGTGGCCGTGGCCGAGGCGGAGGCGGCGGAGGCGGAGGCGGTAGCGGAGGCGGAGGCAGAGGCCGAGGCGGAGGCGGAGGCGGCTCTGCAGCCCGAGGCGCGGGCCGGGTACGTCGCCTACGTCCCCGTTCCGCTCGGCGGCGAGGAGACGCCCACCACGGCGACCACCTCGACCACGCGCCGGCCGGAGCCGCAGCCGCAGCCACGCCGGCCGCTCTTCGTGCCGGTGATGTTCCAGGAGCGGCAGGCGGCGGGCCGGCCCCAGTTTGTGCGCCGGCCGTCGCCGGTGCTGACTGCGCCGCGGCCGTCGCTGCTGCGGCCGCCGCCGCTGCCCTCCGGACAGACGGTGCAGCGGCCGAGCCTGCCGCCGCCGGCCGGCCACTCGGCGCGGCCGCAGCTGGCGCTGCTGCTGCGGCGGCCCGGCGCCGGGTTCCCGGCCGGATTCAACGCCCACCAGGAGGCCAACCTGGTGCGCCGTCCGGTACCGATCGGCCCGCTGCCGCTCAGCGTCCAGGGGCGCACCGGTGACCTGGTGACCTCTGCGCGCCCTCTGACTTCCGTGCCGCCCACCCTGCCCAGCTCTGTGGCGCTGAGCAGGCTGCTCGGGCCGCGCTTCCCGCCGCGCCGACCCGTGACCCCCGCCGGGCTGCGGCCAGGCCCCTTCCGTCCGCCAATCAGCGTGGCCCCGCCGCACCAGCCGGCCAATCAGCGTCCGCCTCACTCCAGTCGCCGTCCGTTCCCGCCGCCACCAGCCAATCACCGCCCGTTCCCGCCGCCGCCGACCAATCAGCGCCCGTTCGCGCCTCCGCCGACCAATCAGCGCCCGTTCGCGCCTCCGCGGTCGCACGGTGTCCCAGTGGGACCGAGTCCGGCCGGCCGCCGGTTCCCGTCCGCTGCCTCGGTGCCGCTGGTGGGGAACCCCCAGTACAGCTACCCGCGGACGGCCACCGGCATCCAGGACATCCTGAGCTACATCAGCGGCGACGCGGCGCGCAACGGCCACGGCGCCTACGGCCGGTTCAGCAGCGGGCCCGTGTCGTCGGCCGGGCAGCGCCGCGACGGCCCCGTGTACCCGGCCGGGTACCGCCGGGACCGGCTGGCGCTCGGCTCGGCCGGCCGGCCGCTGCAGCTGATGCTGGACGTGTACCCGGTGGATAACTCGGACAGGTACGGACAGCAGCCGGCGGCGCCCACCGTCTCCAAGGTGGTGTTCCACCAGTACCCCGACGGTACGCTCGCGCCGGCGTCTGACCAACAGGTGGCGGGTCAGGGCAGCTGGCCGCAGGTCCCGCAGCCTCCCCAGCACCGGACCGGACCCTCCCCGGCCGTGGGAATCCCCGCCAGGGTCTCTAAGGTGGTGTACCACGAGTACCCAGGTGATCGGTCCGGCATGCAGTACCTGCCTGGACCCCTGGGCGGGGCTCAGTACCTCCCCGGGCCCCTGGGCGGGGCGCAGCTCCTCTCTCGATCCAGGGTTGGGCCGCAGTTCACCGTTGGGTCTCAGGGTGGGCCTCAGTTTCTATCTCGATCCATGGTTGGGCCACAGATTACCATGGGGCCTCAGAGTGGTGCTCAGTTCCTTTCTCGATCTCTAGGCCTGCCACAGTTTACCATGGGTCCTAAGAGTGGTTCTCAGTTCCTTTCTCGGTCCCTGGGTGGGCCTCAGTTTGCCGTTGGACCACTGGGCGGGCTCCCGTTTATTCCCTCACCCCTGGGAAGGCCCCACCCTATGGAGGTTCTGATGCTGATGGGATCCTCCGCGCCCCTGACATCGCAAAACCTAGTGAGGGGATCCCAGACCCACCTCCCCACTATTTCCAAAGTCGTTTTTCACGAATACCTTGATAACAAGGAGGAGCCTGCCTCCGAGGAAGCTCAGGTGACACAGACACCTACCGCCCAGGCCCAGGCTGAAGCTCAAGCTCAGGCCCAGGCTGAAGCTCTAGCTCAGGCCCAGGCCCAAGCACAGGCCCAAGCACAGGCTCAAGCCGAGGCCCAGGCACAGGCACGGGCCCAGGCTGAAGCACAGGCCCAGGCCCAGGCCCATGCTCAAGCCCAAACCCAAGCCCAGGCACAGGCACAGGCACAGGCCGCCCAGGCTAAAGCCCAGGCACAGGCCGCTCAGGCTCAGGCTCAGGCCGCCCAGGCAAGAGCTCAAGCTCAGGCTGAGGCCCAGGCCCAGGCCAGAGCTCAAGCTCAGGCTGAAGCCCAGGCTCATGCACAGGCCCAGGCCAGAGCTCAAGCTCAAGCTGAGGCCCAGGCACAAGCCCAGGCCAGAGCTCAAGCTCAGGCTGAAGCCCAGGCTCATGCACAGGCCCAGGCCAGAGCTCAAGCTCAAGCTGAGGCCCAGGCACAAGCCCAGGCCAGAGCTCAAGCTCAGGCTGAAGCCCAGGCTCATGCACAGGCCCAGGCCAGAGCTCAAGCTCAGGCTGAGGCCCAGGCTCAAGCCCAGGCCCAGGCCAGAGCTCAAGCTCATGCTGAGGCCCAGGCTCATGCTCAGACCCAGGCCAGAGCTCAAGCTCAAGCTGAGGCCCAGGCTCACGCCCAGGCCCAGGCTCAAGCCCATCCCCATCCCCATCCCAATCCTCATCCCCATTCCCAGGTCCAGGCCCACGCCCATCCCCAGGCGTAGGCCCAGTGCCCCCAATCATCTGGCGGCGATGTCTCGGAGTTGTCGGGGCGGCCCACAATCCCCGGATGGAGAGTGTCCGTCCACTGATCAGCACGGGCTAGCGCATGTGGTGGCAGGCGGTAATATCACGCGACAGGACAGGCCCACTGGCGCTGTGTTTGCGTTGGAAACAGGTGGCTGGCTCGGCGCATCACGTGACCATTGGCACGGGTGCCGTGCTGGTCGGCGTTTTAGCCACGTGACCGTTCGTTTTTATCTTCCGGTCCCGTTGTGACGGTTGGTCTGTCCCACTGTGATGGTTTGGCTGTCCCGCTGTGATCTTTTGGCTGTTACCCAAAGTGTAACCAAAGGTTCCAGTACCGCCCGTTCTCCCGTGGTAGACAGTGTTGGGAGAGCCGGGCGCACAATCCTACCATATAAACGCGCACTGACTCGCACAACGTGGTGCCTTCTCGATCAAACTGTCCGCGTTATACTGTCCGCCCGAGCTGAACCGTGCTGTCCGAACTGACGGCTCTCTTCTGTGCCTCTATCGGAATGTAGAACCAATACACGAAACCGGCGACCCCGTCTTCCATCTGTCTGTCTGTCTGTCTGTCTGTCTGTCTCACTGAACGGCGGGATGGCAGCGCGACTGGCTGCGTCTCACTGAACGGCGGGATGGCAGCGCGACTGGCTGCTTCTGTCTGTCTGTCTCACTGAACGGCGGGATGGCAGCGCGACTGGCTGCGTCTCACTGAACGGCGGGATGGCAGCGCGACTGGCTGCGTCTCACTGAACGGCGGGATGGCAGCGCGACTGGCTGCTTGCATGGTCGAGCGTCTATTGGGAGGCTGGGTCACACATCAGGGACACGGTCCGGCCGGCCACGTGGCAAGCAGGACACCTCGCACCACCAGGTACACGTGTCACCTCACACTGGGGCCCCAGCACCGGTCCTGACATGTCACGCCGGATCCGGTACTCCACGCAACCTTCTGCCGGACACCGGCTGCGTCCCTCTTCACACTGACTGAGCTGCGCCCTCTGCCGAGCACGGAGAGGTCTGCCCCTCCATACACTGCATCTTCTACCGGGCACTTTCCCGTCTATACACTACACCTTCTACAGCACACTTGTCCCTCTATAATATACGAGTATATCTTCTACCGGACATTTATCCCTTTATAAACACTGCATCTTCTACCGGACGCTTTGCCGTCAATAGATACACTACACCTTCTACAGGACATTTGCCCCTCTATATGTAGGTAGGTAATATATATCTTCTGCCGGACATTTGTCCCTTTATAAACACTGCATCTTCTACCGGACGTTTTGCCGTCAATAGGTACACTAAACCTTCTACAGGACATTTGCCCCTCTATAACCCGGCCGGGCCCGGGGGGTAATCCCAACCACCGCAGCCCGGGGGGGGCCTTTTTCGCCCCCCCCCCTGTCTAACTCCGGAAATAAGGGAGCTACGGAAACAAAAGCGATACCAAACGAAAGGTCCTTACGAGACGATTCTAATGCACCTAAAATTTTTGACCTCAGGTCAATTTTCAAGGTCAGAAGTCAAGGTCAAAGGCCAAAACCGGCACATGTGTAGTGATCTCAAAGTAAGCCTTCTAGAGGACGGCAGGCTGCATCAAACCGACAAAATTGGGTGTCAAACGAAAGAAGAGAATCTGAGGATTCTGAAAATGTGCTCCAAATCAAAGGTCAAGGTCAAGGTCACGCTCAAAATTGACCTCAAACTTCAAACAAAAAACCTCAAACTTGGCACTTTTTCGCACATCTTGCGTGCTAACTTCCAAGATGTTTTGAAATGTTTTGAGGCTTATCAGTTCCCTATTTGTGGTTCATCTTACGATACAAGGCTGCTCAAAGGTCAAGGTCACAGAAGAGTATCCCTGCTAGAGGCTATTTTACTGATTCAAGTTAGTAATAATAAATAAGACAATTTTGCCATCCGGAAGCTCTAAATGAAGGCTTAGAGGAAAATAGATGCCAGATTCGTGATCAGCGGGTACAAATCCATCATAAACGACCTTTCATGTGTCAAGGTCAACCAGAGGTCATTCGAGGTCACATGAGGTCAACATGAAACTTGACCTTTTCCGAACAAAATATATATCATTCGACGCGGCTTGACAAGGCGAATGCGATGGTACCACTGCCGTAGCTCTAGGACCATTTTTGTCGAAGTTATTTGCGAAAAACTAAAACCACATTTCGGGGTCGTTGACCTGACCTCTGACCTCAGGTCACCAAAACTATTTTTCTATTTTTCTCTAGGTCAAACGCTACACAGCCGTGCTCGTAATTTGTCTTTATCTCTAAAACTCTATTTTTAGCAGCTATTTGAAGTTTGCGTCTGTGACCCCGAAGTTTGCCGTGCAGGGGTCTAGAAAAAATGGACCTTGTGACGTCATCAAGGGGGCTAGGTCCAAATTTTTTTTATTTCAGAAGATGTCAAATTGATGGGAGAAAAGGTACTGAAAGTTTCGCCTTCCTATCCCTAAGCGTTCGGGAGTTATCGCAAATATTCGCCAGGGGGGGGGCGAAAAACGCCCCCCCCCCCGGGCCCGCGAGGGATAATATATATCTTCTGCCGGACATTTGTCCCTTTTTAAACACTGCATCTTCTACCAGACGCTCTGCCGTCAATAGGTACACTACACCTTCTACAGGACATTTGCCCCTCTATATGTAGGTAGGTAATATATATCTTCTGCCGGACATTTGTCCCTTTATAAACACTGCATCTTCTACCGGACGTTTTGCCGTCAATAGGTACACTACACCTTCTACAGGACATTTGCCCCTCTATAATATATATGTTCTGCCGGACATTTGTCCCTTTATAAACACTGCATCTTCTACCGGACGTTTTGCCGTCAATAGGTACACTACACCTTCTACAAAACATTTGCCCCTCTATAATATATATCTTCTGCCGGACATTTGTCCCTTTATAAACACTGCATCTTCTACCGGACGTTTTGCCGTCAATAGGTACACTACACCTTCTACAGGACATTTGCCCCTCTATAATATATATGTTCTGCCGGAAATTTGTCCCTTTATAAACACTGCATCTTCTACCAGACGCTCTGCCGTCAATAGGTACACTACACCTTCTACAGGACATTTGCCCCTCTATATGTAGGTAGGTAATATATATCTTCTGCCGGACATTTGTCCCTTTATAAACACTGCATCTTCTACCGGACGTTTTGCCGTCAATAGGTACACTACACCTTCTACAGGACATTTGCCCCTCTATAATATATATGTTCTGCCGGACATTTGTCCCTTTATAAACACTGCATCTTCTACCGGACGTTTTGCCGTCAATAGGTACACTACACCTTCTACAAAACATTTGCCCCTCTATAATATATATCTTCTGCCGGACATTTGTCCCTTTATAAACACTGCATCTTCTACCGGACGTTTTGCCGTCAATAGGTACACTACACCTTCTACAGGACATTTGCCCCTCTATAATATATATCTTCTGCCGGACATTTGTCCCTTTATATACATA